TCGCACCTTCACGGTACAGTCCTGTCTCTGGGTGCCAGGCTACTCCCATCAATTAGACTTTACGGCTTGCAGAGGCGGAAGGTGTGCACCCAGTCAGCACAGGGCCTGGGACAAAGGGAAGTGTCCCAGATTCGTGAAATAAATTAGAGAATGAACACTGTTTCACTCTTATAAAAAAAAAAAAAAAGGAAAAAAACCTTGTGTGGTGTATATTACTAGCCCCTTTTACCCAGGAGGACAGAAAGTGTTCTTACTCATAAGTACACGGTTACCGTTAGACCTTTTTCTTTTTTTTTGTTTTTGTTTTTGGTTTTTGGTTTTTCTCCGGTACCGGGAACCGAACTCACGACCTTGCGCTTGCCAGGCAGGCGCTTTTTGCCACTGAGCTAAATGCCCAGCCCCTTAGACCTGTTTCTTTTCTTTTTGTGGTGCTAGAGCTCCAGCAAACGCTCTGCATATCGCTAGGCAAGAGCACAGGGCTCCATCCCCAGCCCAGAGTATAGATCTTAAGTCCAGTATTTGAATTCCAAATGCTTTGCTCATTCTTTGCTTGTTTTGCAGCAGACAAGCTGTCAAACAAGGAAGTGGTCAGAGCCACGATTCTGGGTCCCTTAACACCCCCACCCTCAAGCACATCTTTAAAGCCTGCTCTGAACAGCAACACCTAAGGCCAGCTAGGTAGCCATCATTTACCGAGCGAGGCTTCTCCTGAACTCAGCTGGCTGGGTCAGTGCGGGGTATCTGATCCAAAGTGCACTAATCCATCGGATGGTCAGGAACTACTCAGATTCAAACTTCTTTTTCTTTTTTTAAAGATGGGGCCTTGCTCTATTTCCCAGGGGTTCCATCTCACAGGCGCAAGTGATCCTGTTGCCTCAGCCTCTCAAGCAGCTGGGACTTACAGGCATGTACTACCACACCCAGTTCAAACTTCATGGTTTGAACTCAGAGAACCAGAGGCCATAATCAGTTACTGGTAGCTGTCCCAACAGAGAAGTCATGCAGAGTCTAGCACTGACAAACCAGGACACATATACAGGCTGGGGTCTTGGCTCAGGAAGAGAAGGCAAGGCTGGCTTACAGTTAGGAGAGGAGCACAGCTCTACTTTCGTGGTACCCACAAGAGAGGTGGGGTCAGACGAGCTGCTCTGCCTTGCACCAACTTTCTGTTCCCTCCCTGTCTCCTGAGGCCGGGATTTATGTCTCAACATTGGGCCCGGTGAGCCATCTCTGCATCCTTTCAGTAATCTCTTGAGCCAAGACAGAGTGAGTTTCCATCCTCTGCTCACTACTCAACTGAGACCAAAGCGCCGCATTTGGAAAGGGGTGAAAATTCTGAAGGCTCAGTTTTCTTACTGGTAAAATACGTGGTTAGACCAAAGGAGCCCCAAATCCCTTGCTTCCGAGAGAGTGCAGGAATCCTTTGGCTATCGTGCCAGGGCCAGGAAATACGCACAGACTCCAAGCAGGAAAGCTGAGGCAGGAAAAATTCTGTTGACTCATCTCCTTGCTTCCTGCCCTGGCCTGTAGTCCTGAGAAGGAGGAAACAATCCTGGAAAGTTGGACGCAGCTCTGCTCAACCCAGAAATGGGAGCGGTCACATCCCTGACATCACCACCCTGCAGATGTCAGACCAGTGATTCCTGCAGGAGGGTGAAGCCGATGTGGTCTCTGAGGTGCAAGAATGTCTTACAAAAGAGGCATCTCAGGTATCGGTGCTCGTGTCAGAGTGGGAGGGTTTCCACAGACAGAGCCAAAAGGGTGCTGCGTGCCCTGGCACGGCCTACTGGGTGGAAAAGCCGCTGAGCTGCTTAATCCTTCTGCCGTGTGCAACCCTGTTGTGCAACGGAGTTGGGGCGGGGAGTCCTTTTCCTGACTGGGCTCCCCAGGCTCTCTGTTTGATCAAAAACCTTTTCCCTAAGCCCTGCAGGTCTACTCTGAGTGTCTCATTTCTGCCCCTCTGTGTTCCCTGGGACAGACAGGTTTAGCTCACGGCTGGGAGCATGTCACCTTCCAGAGAGCTTCTCAGCTGCAGCCTGCCTCCATGTTCAAAGGATCTGTCAACAGCAGGAACTGCCACCGTCCACAGACACTGCACTGGCAGAGGGAGGTCCCTCAGCAAGGGTGTCAGGGAGCTCTCAGGCACCTCAATGAGCCCAGCTCGCAGCACCACCAAGGCACGCTTCCTGGACTTCTGGCCCCAGATCAGCCCATTATCAGGATCCCCAGGGCCATGAAGAGGGGACAAACCTCCAAGTTTCCACTTTAAGGGAAATCGCTTAACTTCTTTGCCTGTTTCTCTGGCCAAAAATGGTTCAAGTGCCTTCTACGCATGGGTTATTCCACGTGAAAGGGTTCTGCGATGTGCAGGGCCTGGCGCACCCTCCAGATACATCTCTCTAGAAAGATGAGAGCAGAATGGCTGGTGTGCTCGCTGCTACACTCTTGGTGCCTGTGGTCCCAGGCTGAGGCCCCTGATGGGCAGACACGGACCTTCCACCCGAGGGACTGCCGGCTAAGCAAGAAGGTGCATGCGCAGAGGCCTGGCACCCCGTGGGAGCCCCAGGAGGTGCTGACTACGGCTGCTGCCCAACAATGCCACTGGAAATGCCTCAACACACCCACACGTCCCAGGTCAAAGGCATCACAGTGAGGTCTTTGTTCCAGAGTTCAAAAAGCCTCACTCACCACTCCTTCCGAAGCCAGCTCTGCAAGATACATGACCAGCCTCCCCTGCCCTGCAGCCGGCCTCCAGCTTCCTTACCAGGGCACCACCTCCCAGGATCTCAAGTCCAGTCCTCTTCCCCCAGTGGCTCTGTCTAAGCTGGTTGTAAACCTCAGGCCTCCTGGCTGTTGGTGGTGACAGGGGAGGTCTGCGTGGGGACCCTCACATGTTTCAGGACCCTGTGCAAATATCTGTGGTTGAGCAGCTGTCTCCACCAGAGAAACAGAAAAGCCACGTACAGCCAAGGATCTCTGCTGACACCCAGGCCACTACTGTGTCAGACCAGGGAGAGGGCTCAGGTCATGTGCTCCACTGCCACTGTCACCAAGCAGGTACAAGATTACCTCCATTTATAGAAGGGATAACTGGAGCCATACACCAGCAGGTGGCGGGAAGAACCCTGACCGTTGGGACAGCATCCCCTCCCAGGATCTATGTGCTAGCTGGGGCTGCTACAGGCGGCGCTGGGAGCAGGGGGCCCGGGGCTCCTCAACCAGCCATGGGGAACTTTGAGCAGAGCAGGTGTCTGCACAGCACGTCCAGCCTAACACTGAAGTCTGATTTTCCCAGGCCCTCCTTCCCCACTGCCAGGCAGGACTCTTCAGTATTCCCAGGACGCCAGCCGTGGGATAGGGAAGGGGTAAGGCACACATACCCCTGGGAATCACAGGGTCTTAAAGCTGGACAAACTTCCTTACATGTGGCTGACCCCCAAGGACCCCCTAAGGCTCCCTGCCTCCTGCTACTGCAGGACTACATAGCTGCGGTGAGACAAGGTGGGCAGGAGTCTCCATGCCAGCACTTCCGGGAAGAACTGACTTTACACTAAGGTGTGCCTCTGTCTCTCTCGGGTGAAGGCTCCCAAGCAAACAAGCAAGCAAGCAAGCGTCCCCATCCCCGGTGCTTCCATTCCACCATGAGACTGTCCCACCTCTGGGTCTCAGGGGCTTAGGCCTTCACGGCCAGCAACACCAGCTTCCCTTGGCAGAGGGGAGGGCAATTAGAGTGGGACAGAGGCGGAGAACAAAGCTGTGCAGGAAGGGGACCATTGTGGTCACCTGGAGACAAGGGCCACGCCTTACACCGGGCACTCAGACCGGACAGCGGGCGGCGTCACTGCTCACCCGCTTGGCAAGGACTCCCACCACGGCCTGGCCTGAGGGGCACGGAGCCAGAGGCATCTCCTTGGCCTCTGGACAGCTACCTGCCCCGAGAGCACAGCACCCAGGTGCCAGGGACACCCACGCTGCGTCTACCCTGCTGAGACTCGCTGCCTCCGTCACCCTGAGCTCACACCCCGGCTGCCACCCCATCCACAGAACGGCCTAGAGATCTTCGGTTTGCTTTCCTTTCGGGTTTCAAAATACTGGAAAGCAACTGAGGAATAAGGGTGGAACAGGCCCACCCCTCTGGGACTGTCCACCAGGCACTGGCCAGGGACGCGCCTGCACACAGGGGCGGGCCCCAGCAAACAAACTGAAAGTGAAACCTTACGCCAGGAGTCAAGTACAGAACTGCCTAGCAGGCTGCAGGCAAGCTGCGGGCCACGTCCGGGTCCAGGGCCATCCTGACTCCGCAGGGGCCCCCGAGCCCACTGGCGACTGGCTGCCGGACTCAGGCTCTCCTTTCTGCCTCTGCCGCAACTTGTGCAACCAAGGGACTCTGGCCCACTCTGCAAGAACCTGGGACCCAGCGGCCCTCAGGGAGCCACTGGCATGGCTGAACCACGTGCCAGCTCCTGAAGAACAGTCCCTGCAGGGCCCTCCCTGGCCGAGTCCTGGCTTCATCCCATCTGAGCCCCGTCCTCAGGTCCCAGTGGACTTCAGCTCACTGCCCAGACGTCAGCCAGACAACTCACCTGGGGCTGGGGGCTCCAGACCCCGTGGAAACGTCAGCCTCCTCCCACCCCCAGCCAGCTGGCTTCTCCTGCCTCTGCTTCAACCCCGGCTTGGAGGTTCACCCCAACAGGGGAAGCTGTTGTGGGGCACCTGAATGGCACAGGTCCCCGACTTACACCAGGGCTGCCACCCTGCCTTTGCACTAACAAAAGCCAGTTAATTATCCTGAGCCGGGGAGACATTCTTCCACCGCCAGGCAAGCTGCTGGCCTGCGGCCCAAGCCAACGGGGGGAACCTCAGCCTCCCGGCCGCTCCCTGCCAGATGGAAATAACGTATAGCTGCAGAGGTGGGGGAGGAGGGAGGAACAAAACCCCACGCAGCCCAGGAGCCAGGCTGGAGCCCGCGTGGACAGCCCCGAGGCCGCCCGGACACTCACCGCTCTCGTTCTTCTCAATGACATCCACCACCTCCCCGGCCTGGAGGCTCAGCTCCGAGTTCTCCTGCTTCTTATAGTTGGAGACCACCACGTACTGTTCCAGGATCATGGGCTCGGCGTTGCTGTCGGCACCTGGCGAGGGCAGAAAGCACGCGGTGAGCCAGCGGCCGGCCATGGCCCCGCGGCCGGGGCGCCCTCTGTCCATGGGCCTCGGCGGAGGCTGCTCGGTCTCCAGCGCTGCTCCAAGGGACAGCCCGCAGCCAGGGCTCGCAGCTCGTTGGGCCCCAAGGACAGGCCATATAGCAAGGCCCCACACCGGCCCGCTGCACGGCGGGGACCGGGGGACATGGGGAGCGGGGGGCAGGGGAGGGGGACGGAGAGACAGAGGCAGAGGCCAAGGAAGCTGAGGGGAAGCCTTCTGCTGTGCTGAGTTAGTCACAGCCCGGCATGGGGGAGTCCAGGAGAAGCTGGGGACCACTGAGGTCTCTGCAGACCCAGGCTGGCAGGGGTGTGCGGGGAGGCCGGTGTGCGAGCGGGCGGGCACCCATGAGGGCGGAGCAGTGCAGGAGAGAGAAAGAGCAGAGGGAGGAGGAGGCCAAGAGAAGGCCCCTGCCTCTACCAGAGCCTGGAAACCCGGAGAGAAAAGGCAGCCCTGCTCCTTGCGGGGCGGGAGAGGGAGCGCCTTCTCCGCAGCCCGGCCCGGTGAGGCGGCCAGAGGGTTTGAGGCCGCCAATCACTGGGGTTTACTCACAACCCTTAAATAGAAACACATGAGACCCGTCGAATGAGGAGCTGGGGGTGGAGGCAGGGAGGGGAGGAGGGCCCAGACTGTTTACTTGAAACTCAAGAAGAAAGTCCCAGAGCCAGCACTGGCCAGGCTGGCCCACCCCCCGCCAACTTTTCCTGAAGTTCGGCTCCAGGCTCCATTCCTGCGCAGCCGGCTCAGGAAAGGCTAGGCACGGACGGCCCGGGGCCTCTGCGGCTGGCCCAGCCCCAATTCCAGAGACGCCTCCCTAGGCCCAGCACTGCCCTCTCACTGCCTGCGCCGACTCAGTCTCCCTCTGCCCTGCAGGGCGGTCAAGCTCCAGCAGCCTCTGGCCACCCTTCCCAGCAGCTTCAGAAACTGGAGGGGTCAAAAGCCGGGGTGTGGCACGGGGAGGGCCCTAGAACCCCAGGAGCAGGCGCCCTCCATGGCCACCGGACCAATGGACAGTCATCAGCAAGCATGAGCCTGGAGGGCAGACAGCCAGGGGCCCAACTGCCTTTCTGACGAAGGGGTCTGGACGGGCTGTGTGTTTCTAGTGCTTCAACCATTACTGTCCCAACACCTAAGATGCTACACGCCCTGCTAGGGGATAACAGGACCCACAGGCCACAGACCAATGGTCACCTCCTTCAGGAAGTCTTCCCAAACCACCCCAAGCCCAAAGGGAGCTCGCAGTACACTTAAACTATGTGTCTTCTAGGAAGGCACAGTGACACACCTGTAGCCTCAGCAGTTCAGAGGCGGAGGCAGGGGGATCACTGGCCTGAGCAACACAGCAAGATCTCCTGTCTCAAAAACAAAGCAAAACTGCATGTCTGCCAGTCTCCTTGAAGACTGGGGGGTTCACGCCACTAACTTGGCTCTAGGAATGCCTGAGGGTCTCAAGGCTCCACACAACCTGCTTGGCCCGTAGCCACATGCCCTAGGAGCCCGAGTCTGACTTATGTTCCAGGCACATTTCCAGCCTACCTCACCTCACAACTCCCCTCCTGACTTCCCATGTTGCAGAGCTGTCAGAGGCTCAGAGAGGGCAGGAGACCCACCCTACTTCCCACAGAGGGTATGGAAAGAACCAAATTCACTTGCTGTGTTTAGAGGTTCAAATCCATCTCTCAGGGGCTGGGGATTTAGCTCAGTGGCAAAGCACCTGCCTGGCAAGCGCAAGGTCGTGAGTTCGATTCCTGGTACTGGAAGAAAAACAAAAAACAAAACAAACCCATCTCTCTCTGCATTACAGAACAACAGTCTCTGACCTCTGTTTCCAGACATACTGCTTTTCCTATATGTACAATGTTCCTGCACTTGATGGCACAGAATCACCTGAGCTTTTTAAAAACACAGATGCCAGCTGGGCATAGTGGCACACACCTGCAACCCAAGCACTCAGGAGGCTGAGGCAGGAGGGTCATGAATTGCAGACCAGTTTGCACATCTAGGGATACATAGGGAGACCCTATCTCGAACACCAAACCAAACCAAATAAAGCACTGGGCTTCAGAGGGTCAGTTCAAACCGGTTGGGGCCTAGACATAAGTACGTGGTTGAGGCCCCATGGCCCATGGTTCTCACGTGCAGCCAGAGCAAGGAAGCACTGCTTAGATCCCTGGGTCCTCTTTCGGGAAGGCTCCACGTACCCTAGAGCTAGGGGTGATGGCCACAGAACTCGGGGAAACCCCAAGGGGGGGCCTTCCTTGGAAGGAAAGAACGCCACTGCTCCGATGGCTTTCTGCCATGCTGTGCAGGTGCTGCGGCCCCTGCTGGGCCTCTGGAGACCTGGGGGACACTGTCGTGGCTGAGGGGTGCCGCATGGGTGTGCACATGCAGCCAGACAACTCATCCAGAGCCGGGATTATATTTCAGGCAGAAATGCAACCAACAGCTGGGCGGCTGGGCCGGCCCCTCTGCGCGTGGAGAAATCCATACTCCACCGGCCCGCACCCCTACCTTCCTGGAAAATCGCCCTGGGCTCTCTGGAAGCCACCAGCACTCTGGGACACAGGTAGGAAAGCAGAGAGCAGGGCCTCGAGCATGCAGCGTGCAGTCAGCTGCAGCTGGGCCGCTCCAAAGGCTGGGGATGGACACGCCACAACACAAGCTACTGTCCTCCTGCTGCCCTCCCCGCCCCGGCACGTGCGCAGGCCCCAGCTTGGTATCTGCCTCAGGGCGTCGGGTCTCCAGGCTCCCCGGGCAGGCGAGCAGGCAGGCAGGCCCTAGGAGTCTCCAGATGAGAAACCGCTGGGAGGCGCGGAGGCCTGGTGGCTGGTAGGTGGTGACGTCATCCCACAGAGGCGGCCCTGTATCCCTTCCAGCCAAGGTCCGGAAAATTGGGGGTGGAGGAGTCTGCCGGGGGCGAGGGGGCGGGAGGGGACAGTGGAAGGAGCCTTCTGTGTTCAGACAGAGGGTTTGGCAGAGGCGGGGAGGAGGGGTAGACCTCTTCTAGACAGCAGGGCCTCTCCCCGTGCAAGTGGCTTTGTGTGTGGCTCACCCAGGGATGGGCTCTTGGGCTTCGTTACACAGCCACGCTGGGCCTCCTGGGGCCCTGGGGTCCCTGACCCACCCTGTGCCTCACACCTGCATTGCTCCAGCCACCACCTGGGCGGAACCCTGTTCATGCCCAATCCTGGCTGCCAACTTAAACTGCTAAACTAGGCCTCTGCCAAGTCAGTCCCTTGCTCTAACACCTCCACCGGCTCCCTGTTGCCTGAGAACAAAGGCCAAATTCAAGCCCCTGTCATCTCGCAATCTGAGCTCCTGAAGCTCCCCGACCCGCTGTCCCGTTCCATACATTTATGATTCACACACACGTGCTGAACACCTACTATGGGCCACCAGCACTGTTGGAGGCAAGTTCTTTCTAAGCTTTGGCTGAGGCCATTGCCCCCTGCCCAGGAAGCCTTCCAGTCTGTTTGTCACTCCCAATTCCACCCAAGTGCTGCTGCCCCTGCAGGAAGCTTGCTTCCCTGCAGCCCTGCCCGCTGTCTCCCGGACGTTCTGCCGGGCATGGCCTCCCAACCAGACCGATGAGTGCTGATGCCTCACGGACATGACGTGGGACACAATCCTCACTGGAGATTCGTGACGTAAATGCTCCGAGTCAGTGGGTCTGAGGTCCTGTCCCGCCTTTCCTCTCCCTGTTCTGTGATCCTGGGGAGGATGCTTAGCCTCTTGAGCCTTAGCGCCCTCACGTGTGAACAGTGCCAGGGCAGCACCTTGTGGTGCTCTTCTGCGCAGGGAGTGAAGTAACGGGGCTTAAGGCCCTGAGTAGAGTACAGATGGCCGTTTATAAGCAAACAGAGGAAACAGCAGGTTCAGGGAGGAGCTAGAGAAGTGTTGATTCCCAAGGCCTCCGCAGCAGGGCAGCTCGGGGCAAGGGCCACAGGCTGGGAAAGGAGACCCAGGGCTGCGCCCATGTCTCTCCCAGGCCTCTCCAGGCACTTGCCAAGAGAGAGGCAGATCAGAGCTCCTGGGGGCCCCTCCGGGGCACACGTCCAGCTGAGCAGCCCATGGACCCTCTCTGTCAGATCCCTGCTGTCAGCCTATGCCCTCCAGGTTTCCCGTCTCATCAGACTTTTAGGATTTCGGATGGGAAACCAAGGCCCAGAGAGGCCTGGTGACCTGCCTGAGATTCCGGCTCTGGACTTCCAGGTCTGGCTGGGTGCCCTCTCCATGCGGGCCTGACCCTCTCCCTGGGGTCTCTGGCTTCAAGGGTGACCCTCAGCAGACCCTGACCCCCCTGGTAGTCTCTGCCCCAAGCTCCCGCCATCCTCTGAGCCCGGACACCCCATCAAGGCCCCTTCAACCCCTCACTATGGGTCCCTCCTGGCCACGCAGGGCTTGCCGGCTGCTCAGCTATACGTTGGGTGAATAAAATGCATCGCTGTGGGCCAAGTGGGCTCCCGCTCCCTGGCCTGTGCAGAGGGGAAAAAGGGACAGACGCCCACTGATTAGCTCAGGCTCAGGCTCTGTCAGGGAGCACAGGAGGGGGGCTGCAGGGGAAGGGGGCCCGCCCCCAGCGCCTCTCCGCCCGGCCCTTTTCCCAGCGGACTCGCCTCCCATCCCCTGCCAACAGCTGTGGCGGGAGAGGCTGAGCCTTTAACTCCTGGAGTGGCCCAGCCCCCTCGACCCTGACCCCTCTGCCCTACTGCCCAACTCCCAGCCTGGATCTCTGCTCTCAGAAATGAAGGGGCGCCTAGAAGACCAGCCTGGAAATCCCCCCGCACCTCCTTGCAGGCCCTGAAAACCCAGCCCTCTGGGTCCGGGAAGCCCAAAGACTAAAGGCAAGGCCTTGAGTGGGGCCCAGCTCTTCCCAGCCACAGCCAAGGCCTGAGCCCCTGAGGGCCACCCTGGCCAGGCAGGCCAAGTCAGGCTGGAGGAGGCTCCTGCTCTGCACTGCTGGGTCACGTGTGTGTGTGTGTGTGTGTGTGTGTGTGTGTGTGACCCACCCTCAATTGTGGAACACGCCCACCCCTCCCAGAGTCCCCAGCTCCCAGGGGGATCCCTGGAAACCAGGCTCGGGGACATAGAGCACCCAGTTGTCTGGCTGACTGGTCTCATCCTGACCAGGACGGCCCCCGAGACAGCACCTAGGATGGCAGGCCTGCTGCTGCTTCCCCTGAGCCAGGCCCACCGAGGAAGCACTCGTCCCCGCGGAGAGGTTGCACAATGCCCAGACGGCACAGCCAGGACGTGGCAAGCTGGGACTCAAAGCCACAGGCCCAGCCAGAACGCATCTGCTCACACCCTGTGGTGTCCTCAGGATGCCGAGGGCGCCCAGGCCGGGTCTGAGAGCTGGAAAGGGCTCTCCAGGCAGGCAGAGGGCACAGCGCGGGGCGGGTGGGTGGCCGTCGAGGGCTGCCACTCTTCCAGAAGAGCATGTGGGAAGAAGCGCGGCGCTGCTCCTGACGCGTGCTGGGACACACGCTCACACGCATGCACGCACATGCATGCCGGCAGTACCTGTCACGTCCTTCCTGGGAGACTCAGCCCAGCTGGAGAGCCACACTTCCGAGGGCCCCGAGAGCCGGCAGCAGCAGGAGGAGAACCAGAGAGAGAACCGTTAGGCAGTGGGAGTCCAGGGCGACTGGCAAGTGGCTGCACCGCGGGGCTGGTGTGGGCGGAAGGCGGGGGCAGGGAGGAGGGATTTCCTGGCTCTGGGACCGCTGCTGGGCGTGGATTGTGTGATTATAGAGGCTGAGGCAAGGATAATGAGTGTCTGTCGGAAGGCAGGAATTCTTCAGAGCACAGAGCATCGTGCACGGCTCCTCCCCGGAATGGACCCCTTAGCTGTCATGGAGAAGGCAGCCCCGTTCTCCTGGGTGACCACGTGTGTGCCGGCCCCAGGCTGAGTGGCTCCGAGGGTTCTCCCAGGATAGCAGACTCAGCAGCCTGGACCCAGCACCCCTACGGCCAGGTTGGAACCCCGAAGGCCAGGTCTCTGGGTGCCACATGTACTAAGCCCTGAGTCTCATCAGAGTGGCCACACAACTCCGCCAAGGGAGACAGACACCCCAGCTGAAGGGAAGGGCACCCCCTGGAGAGGCTCAAACCTCGCCGTCCAACCCAGGACAGGAACTGCTAGTGACCAGGCCCAGGCAGCAGTGTCTCATGCTGGCCTCAGCACCCTCACCTGTTAAACAGAGTCAAGATGTCCTGCCAAGGGGGAGGAGCAAAATCAAAGCACCACCAAGGAACAGCGTACAACTATGAGATGCACAGCTGCTAGCACTGCAGCCAGGTGGACCCAATCACACCTGCTGGGCTTTCTTCGTCTCCAAGGGGTGCAGCGCTGGCTGCAATGGGACAGCTACGGACACACTGGGATGCAAGTCTGAGACAAACCCTGGTACTGCCCACCCGGCGCTGGCCAGGAGGGCCGCCAGACCCCTTTATGGGCAATCACAACAAGCAGCACACATGTACGCAGCATCTACTAACTCACTAGCTTCAGACTGAGTACTTTCACAGATTACTCTTATTTTTCACACCCAACCTGGAGGATTCCTTCCATTCTGAAACTGAACCTGAGAGGTTAAGAAACTTGCCCAAGCCAGGCATGGGTGGTGCACACCTGCAATCCCAGCACTCAGGAGGCTGAGAAAGGATGACTGCTTCGAGTTCCAGGGCAACGGAACTACAAAGTGAGTTCCAGGTCAACCTGAACACATGGCAAGTTCCAGGTCAACCTGAACACATGGCAAGATAAAAAAAAATAAAAAGAAACTTGCTCCAGGCTACGCAGCCAGTAGAGTATCCACCTCTTGTAGGGACGTAGACTTTAGGCAACAAAGCTTTGCTGTCACCACGTAAAGCATCCCACACTCAGTAAGCCAGCTCCCAACTGCACGTGCTGTCCTGTGGAGAACTGGGGAGATGGCCCCTCCAGACCTCACTGTAAACCCACACAGCAAGGCTCTGATGGAGAAGTTTAGCGAGGCGCCTGGAAGTTGACTGCCTGGTGCACAGGGACAAGCAGAGCTGCTCTTGAAGTCAGAGGCTCTCACAGAGCCGTGCATCCAAAGAAGCTGGGGAACTAGTGTGATGGCCGAGGGACCGAGCCCGGTGCCGAGGAGAGACCTCCAGCCTTTAAGCTCCTGTGGCCAAGGAGGCCTGAGCATAAAATCAGGGGCTTTCCTGTCTGGTGCCTACATCATGCTAGCTTCCAGCTTCTACTGTTGTCCCCCAAGATGTGGCGAAGTGGCCACGCCACACCCTGGGCAGGCTTGTGTCTGGCCCAGCCCACCTGACCTCTCCAGGTTAGCCTGTCTCCCTCCACCCCAGGCCTTCACACCCGTACACCTTCCTTTGGGGGTTCTTTTTGGGTTCTTCATCGGAAATGTTTTGGGAAAGGCAAAGCTCTTTCGGTGAGCTAACAATGGCAGGCATCTGCCTGGCCTGGAAAGCCCCGGAAGACCTGTTCTGCTGGGGCAGAGGTCTGTAAGGCAAGGAGAGCACATTTTCAGGCTTTGGGGGCCTCTGTGGAGACCGCCCAACCCTACTGTTGCAGTGTAGATGCAGACACACACCACATGCAAAGCAACAGCGGGCTGTGTTGCAATGAAACTTTACTTACAGAAACACAGGCATGGGCTAGACAGGATCGGTGGGCGGACAGTCTGGGCTCATGCCTGTCCCCTCGCCTCCCACCAGCAGGCCGTCCTGTCCCCGTCCCCAAAGGAAAATGGGAGGCAGACCAGAAATTAGCCTGCTTTTCTATTTTATTTTATTTTTTTTAGGTACTGGGAATCAAACTCAGGACCCTATGCTTGCCAGGCAGGCACTTGTCCCGCTGAGCTATATCCCCAGCCACAAGCCTGCTTTTCTAAAAGTCTTTCTAAAGCATGATTTCTCAGCCCCTGGACATACAGAGTTAATCCAATTCCACTGTTATCACCTGAAACTCTTCCACTCTGGAGTCCCCTGTCTTCAGACCACCCGAATAGCCCTTTCCCAGGGTGGGAAGGACCCTTCACCACGCTGCCCTCTGGAGAGGTGGCGGACACGGCCGCTGCCTGAGGGCCGGGGAAACGGAGAGATGGACAGGCAGAGCGGAGGGGGCGGAGGGCGTGAGGCCCTGTGTGGCTAAGGACAGCTGTGAGGGAAGCCAACCAACTGCTTCCTGCCCTCCCTCCGGGCTTTTCTTCCCTCTCCTGGAAAGACAAGGAAGCAAGGCCCCTGCAGAACAGGGGTGTCAGACCTGGCATCTGTACCCGTGGTCCTGCTGGTAACTAGCTGTGTGAGCTGGGGCAAGGGGCTTCACTCTCTGGCCCTCAAAGCTCACCTCTGTGAGGCAGCTGTTCAACGTTCTAGACTTCTCCAGCAGAAACCTGGTATCTCCCTCACACAGGCGCATGACGGCTGGCGTGAATCTTTCCACAGAAAGAGACACTTTTTCCTTTCCAGAAAATCACCCGAAGTCGGCTCGATGCACGGAGACCATCTCCACAGAGCTGGAAGACCCCGCCGGCAACACAGCGGAGACTCGGGGGAGGGCCACAGGGAGCCGGTTCCCGTGCTCCCTCCTTCCTCCCCAGAAATGGGGATGGAGACACCTACTGCCTGTGAAAGGAATCAGGCCCTGGGGACAGGAAGGGCAGCGGGGGACAGGGACCGTTCTGGTGGGAAAAAAGCCACGGGCGATGGGGAGATGCGGTCTGGGGGATGGGGTCCTTTTCTCCAGAACCCACGTCCCTGTCACAGCCTGTCCGCCTGGCTGGCAACACGCTGAGGGCAGCAGACACACAGGGACGCCAGCAAAAGCCATGTGGGTACCCTGGGGAAAGCACGTTTGAATCCTCACGGCCGAGACGGAGAAGACACAGCTGAAGCAGGAGTTCAATCTGAGCGCTGCAGGCGCCGTGCCGCTGTCTGTCCTACACACTTGTGCTGTGGCTTCTTGGCCGCCGCTGAGTGGCGCCAAAGGAAGGGGTGAAGGCCTTTCTCCTCGGACTGGGTTAGCTACTGTCGGGCTCAGCGCTTTCTCCCTCCCCACATGCTCACCTGCCCCATCCATGTCCAACAGGAGGCTGCCTCAGTGGACTGAGCCTCCAGAACCATGACCTAAAATAAACCTCTTGTCACCCAGCATGACACACGCCTGTAATCCCAGCTATTGGGAGGCTGAGGCAGGAGGAGGATAGTCCAAGGCCAGTCTGGGCTACTGAGGAAAGCCCTATCTCAAAATAAAATGTTAGCAAGGCCTGGGAATGCGGCTCAAGTAGGAGTACTTGCCTAACATGCATGAGACCCTGGGCTCAATCCCTGGTGCTGCTAAATAAATAAACCTCTTTTCTTTATAAATTACTCAGTTTCAGACATCCTGCTGCACAAGAAAAGAAAAAGGGCTTAAAGCCGTGCGAGCTGCTTTTCACACAGGCAGCCCCGGGAAGCCTGCCCCAGTGTGAGCTGCGGCAGCCAGCACCCCCATCCCTGCGCTCCGCAGGACAGCACCGCGCCCTCGTCCTGGTGGCGCAGAAGCGGCTCCGAGGCCAGGCTCTGCCTCCCACTCTGGCCGTGCAGGCAGGGCTGGCTTCACCAAGCCCCCACGCTTAGAAGGACCTGGGGCCGCTTTAATGCTCTCTGCCATGGGGCTGAAATCATTCATAATTTATGAACAAGAGGCCCTGTGTTTTCATTTCACATTGGGCCCCGAGAATGACGTAGCTGGTTATTACGCCGAAGGCCCAGGGGTTCTGGGCCACAGACTCCAGAGCTAAATAAATACCAGTGCTATACTTGAGAAGGCATTTCGTAGGGCTGAGTTTACGATGAGTATCTTCTGAGAGACAAAAGGCAAACCCTCAGTGTTTGTCTCCGGGTTCTTTTTCCTCCGCTACATCTCAGGCCTCCTAGGGGGCGGGACCCGTGTGCCAGAAAGACACGTGGGTCACAGCAAGCAGGCAGCAGGGCCGGGGCTGGGTTCCACCAGCTGCCGCTCAGGCCTCCTGTGAGGTGTGGTGTGATACATTTTACGGGCATTATCTTATTTAATCCTCACACCCATCTGCATTTTACAGAAGAGGAAGGCGGGGCAGCTCAGAGAAGGTGAGGTTCTCGGGGGATACAGTGTCTTGGGCCCTCCCCAGCCTCTGGCCAAGGCCTGCCCTGTCTCTGCCTGCGGCTCTTTGAACATGCAGCCACATTCCTGCTCATTCTGCACTCAGCAAGAGAGGGCCTGCCTCCTTCCCCGGAGTGCTGGCCTTCCCAGAAGCCTGGGTGCGAGTGGGGCGGCCCCACCCGGGGTAGGAACGCACCGGGCCCAGCCCTTGGGCGGGCAGCTGAGCTGTGCGGTCAAGGAACAGTCAGTGTCCTCCCAGCTCAGGTGGGGATGGGGCGGGTTAGGGCTGGGCCAGGACAGAGACCAGAGGGTCAGGACGGCCCATGGGTATGAGCGCAGAGGCGGGGTTGAGGCAGGTCTCTGGATTCAAGGGTGCTGGGCATTGCTCCCAGCAGCTGCTGCCGGACTGGGGCAGCCCCCTCAATTCCCAGGGTCTCACTCTCCCTGT